TAAAATGCACCCAAACAGGAAGAGAGGAGGCCAAACCATCCCTGTTTGCAGATGACATAATTCTATATCTAGGAAACCCTACAGTTTTGGCAGAAAAGCCCTGTAAACTAAGAAACAACTTCAGCAAAATTTCAGGATACAAAATAAATGCAAAAATCAGTAGCATCCCTGTACATAAACAACATCCAAGCCAAAAGCCAAATTAAAAACACAATTCCATTTACAACAGTCACAAAAAGAATAGCATATCTAGGAATACACCTAAACAGGGAGGTGAAAGATCTCTACATCAAGAATTACAAAATATTACTTACAGGAGTCAGAGATGATGCAAACAAATGGAAAACTATTTTATGCTCATGGACAGAAAAGATTAATATTTAAAAAGCCATACTGCTCCCCAAAATTTACAAATTTAGTGCTATCAAGCTACCAAAAACATTCTTAACAGAACTAAAAAATCCTATTTTAAAATTCATCCAGAACCAAAAGAGAGCCCAAATAGCAAGACAATCCTAAGCAAAAAGAACAAAGCTGGAGGCATTACATTACTCGAGTTCAAACTACATTACAGGGCTACAGAAACCAAAGCAGTGTAATACTGGTACTAAAACAGACTCATAGACTAAAGCAACAGAATAGAGTGCCCAGAAATAATGCTGCTTGCCTACAACCATCTGATTTTTTACAAAGCTGACAAGGGGAATGTGGGAAGAATTCCTTATTTAATAAATGATGTTAGAATAACTAGCTAGCACTATGTAGAAGGTTGAAAGTAAATCCCTTCCTTACACCATATACAAAAATCAACTCAAGATGAATTAAAGACTTAAGTGTAAAACTTAAAATTATATATATATATAATATATATATAATATATATATAATATATATAAAAAACAAACCTGGGAGATAACTTAGGAAATTCCACTGTAGACATAGGAACTGGCAAAGATTTCATGATAAGATACCAAAAGCAATTTCAACAAAAGCAAAACTTGACAAATGGGAACTAATTAAACTAGAAAGCTTCTTTACAGCAATGGAAACTATTGGCAGAGTAAACAAAACCTACATAATAAAATAAAATATATGCAAACTATTCTTCTGACAAACGTCTAATATCCAAAATCCATAAAGAACTTAAAAAAAAACTTACTAAAAAGTAGGCAAAGGACATGAACAGATGCTTTTCAAAAAAGGCATATATGTGGCTAACAAACACATGAAAAAAATGCAATCACTAATAAAGAAATGCAAAGAAAAACTACAGTCAATACCATCTCATACTAGTCAGAATGGCTATTACTAAAAAGTCAAACAATGACAGATAATGGCAAGGTTGTGGAGAAAAGAAAATGCTTATACATTACTGGTATGAGTGTAAGTTCAACCATTGTAAAAAACAGTGTGGCAATTCCTTGCAGAACTAAAAACAGAATTTCCATTTGACCCAGAAACCTCATAATTGAGTACATGCCCAAAGAATTATAAATTATTCTATCATAAAGATACATACACATGTATGTTCACTGTAGGACAACTCACAATAGCAAAGACATGGAATTGACCTAAATGACTGCCAACTGTAGACTAGATAAAGAGGATGTGATATGGTCTGGCACAGTGGCTCAAGTTGGTATTCCCAGCACTCTGGGAGGCCAAGGCTGGCAGACTGTCTGAGCTCAGGTGTTTGAGACCAGCCAAGGCAACACGGGGTAACTCTATCTCTACAAAGAATACAAGAAAAATTAGCTGGGTGTGGTACTGTGCACCTATAGTCTCAGCCACTTGGCAGGCTGAGAAAAGAGAATTGCTTGAGCCCAGAAAGTTGAGACCGCAGTGAGCCAAGATCATGCCACCACACCAAATCTGTTTGTGCCACCACAAACAGACTGAGGCCCTGTTTCCCCAGTCCTCCCAACAAAAATAAAATATTTTCTAAAAGAAAATATGGTACATAAACATAATGGAATACAGTTTGGTTATTAAAAAAAGAACAAGATGATGTCCACAACATAGATGGAGCTGAAGATCATTATCTTTAGAAAACTAATGCAGAAACAAAAACCAAATGCATGTTCTCATTTATAAGTAAAGAGCTAAATAATAAGAACACATGGACACAAAGAGGGGAACAACAGACACTGAGAACTAGTTAAGGGTGAAGGGTGGGAAAAAAAAGATCAGAAAAAATAACTTAATACCTAGGTGACAAAATAAATCTACACTAAACCTTCATGACACAATTTCATCTATATAATAAACCTGAACATGTACCCCTGAACCAAAAAATAGAAGTTATAAAGAAAAAAAATCTTAAGTGGGGGAAGAGTTGAATGTAAGTGGAAGAACTGGATTGTGCTACAGACAGTGGCCCAGGTGGAGCCATACTGTGATTTATTTTTGTGTCCATGCAGGAAGATGAGATTATAAACAGGTGGCCCAGAAACTTAGGTTGGTGGAGAAAACAGATTGCTTCTGCAGATTCAGTGACTGAGGGTGAAGATACACCAGGAGACCTGTAGATACTTTTGTGGGTTTTTGGCAAGAAACATTAGGATCAAAAATGTTGTGGTGAAATTCCTGAGGGTGGCGCCTAGAGCTGGGAGGGGTGTGGACACATCAATGTCTAGTGGGTATGTTTGTAAGTGGGTGGAAATCCTGTAGGGTTAGCTGTAAGAAAAGGGGGTCTGTCATCAGAGCTCCTTCCTCTAAGTTTTCAGTCCTCTCTCACCCTGGGATGAGACCTGGAATCACAGGACAATGGGCAGTGTGACAGCCTGTGTACAGGAGAACAGAGCCTCCCATTACCAGAAACTCAGAGTTTTATTCCAGTCCAGGTCTCTGTGATATCTATTCTTCTGGCACCAAATATGTAGAGTTTGCAGAACACCAAGAAATTTTCCAACACCAACTCATTGTCTAACATTTGAATTCTAACACCACCCAGAGTCAGCACAGACCCTTATTCAGGGCTCAGTCTCACAACATTGTTCGTACTGTAGAACCCAGTCACAAACCCCATTAGCTCATCTATGTTTCTGAGCTACTGTTTGAAAATTGTGGATTCTCATAACCTCCCTCAAGTTCAATAATTTGATAGAGCTACTCACAGAACTCAGCAAAAAACTGTAGTTATGTTAACCAGTTTATTATAAAAGATACAACCCAGGAAAAGTCAAATGAAAGAAATGCGCAGGACAAAGAAAAAAGGTGGGGGAAAGATGAAGCACATAGGTAATCCAGGTAAATAGTTGTGATTAATAAAATTCTCTATTGTTTATGTTCTCCAGGAACAGTTTATGGAAAGAAACAACATTCCCATTATGACTTAGATGGTGCTCTGTTTTCTGACCAATCACATAGCCAGGCACAAACTTTGTGCAAATTTTTTTTTTTTTTAATGATGGATCTCACTCTGTTGCCCAGGCTACAGTGCAGCGGTGTGATCACAGCTCACTGCAACCTCCCAGGTTCAAGCAATTCTCTTGCCTCAGCCTCCCCAGTAGCTGACACAATTTTATCTATATAGTAGCCACCACACCCAGCTAATTTTTGTATTTGTAGTAGAGATGGAGTTTCACCATGTTGGCCAGGATGGTCTTGAACTTCTGACCTCAAATGATCCACCTGCATTGGCCTCCTAAAGTGCTGAAATTACAGGCATGAGCTACTGTGCCCAGCCAACTCTGTGCAAATTATCTTTTTCTCAGAAAAAAAAAAAAAATCAGCTAAATGTGTCTTCTGTGGTCAAAATAAAATACTTCATAATCAAATAACTTAAGCTGGCTGGGTGTAGTGGCTCATGCCTGTATTCCCAGCATTTTGGGCTGCTGAGGTGGGTGGGTCACTTGAGGTCAGGAGTTTTGTCAGAGATGTTTAAACAAGAGCAACTATATCTTGAATAGGAGCTGGGTAAAATAAGGCCGAGACCTACCGGGCTGCATTCCCAGATGGTTAAGTCATTCCAAGTCACACGATGAGATGGGAGGTTGGCACAAGATACAGGTCATAAAGACCTTGCTGATAAAACAGGTTGCAGTAAAGAAACTGGCTAAAGCCCACCAAAGCCAAGATGAACACGAGAGTGACCTCCAGTTTTCCTCACTGCTACATTCCCACCAGCGCCATGACAGTTTACAAATGCCATGGCAACATCAGGAAATTACCCTGCATGGTCTAAAAAGGGGAGGCATAAATAATCCACCCCTTGTTTAGCATATCATCAAGGAATAATCATAAAAATGGACAAGAAGCAGCCCTTGGGGCTGCTCTGTCTATGGAGTAGCCATTCTTTTATTCCTTTACTTTCTTAATAAACTTGCTTTCACTTTATGGACTTATCCTAAATCCTTTCATTTATGAGATCCAAGAACCCTCTCTTGGGATCTGGACTGAGACTAGCCTGGCCAACATGGTAAAACCCCATCTCTAAAAAATACAAAAATTAGCAGGCTATGTTGGCACACAGCTGTAATTCCAGGTACTCAGAAGGCTAAGGCATAAGAATCACTTGAACCCAGGAGGCAGAGGTTGCAGGAAACCAAGATCTCACCACTGCACTCCAGCCTGGGTGATGAGGTGAGAATCTGCCTCAAAATAAATAAATAATAATAAAAAAACATAAGTTAATCTCCTTCCCATAGGCTCCTGAACTTTGAGCTATCTTAAGTCTGAGCCAACATACAACCCTATTTTATGTCCATCCTAAGAACATGCTGACTTTAGGGTAAAACATTCTCTGATCTAGAATCTAATTTTTTAATCCTCCATTTGCCATTCCCCTCCCACCTTCTTTCTAATCTTGTTTGTTTCTCCCTATGAAAAAAACTCTTGTCTGACTAAACTTTGCAATCCTCAAAGATCTTATAGTTGGTACTTCCTCCTGTTGCAATACTCCTTTAGAATTAACTTTTTTTTTTACATCATTACAACTTTGTTATATATTACAAAGTCTAGAAACTGCCTCAAAACAAAACCAACTTCACTTGCAGTAAGATCTTCCCAATCTCCTTAATCTTAACTGCATCTGTCGGTGGACCTCAGCTTTCCAGCGCTGTGTAGCTTCTCTCAGGATAAAGGCTTCCTCCATGTCTCAGGTGAGTGGGCTGGGACACCTGCAGGGGAGGCTCCCCAGAAAGAACTAACTGGGCCTTTTGTAACATCCTTTTGCAGGCTCAATATTAGCCTTAACTTGCAGTCACTGGGCTCAAGCTTTAATTTCCATGTCAGAGTAATTCCCTTGGTTTCTTAAACTAAGTGTTTGAAAAATCCAGAAAATCAAGCAAACACAGTGTTCATATAAGGATGAAAATTTTAAGCTGCTTACATTCAATACCTCAATAAGAAAAGCAAAAGTGTCTATACCTTTCAGACAATAAATGTATTATTGTATGAGTTCCATCAAAAATCATGTAGTAAACCATTAGTCATATATGGGAACACTTCTGGAAGGTACCAAGTTTCATCTAATAAAATTTAGCATGAAACTCAGAAACCAAGATAACAAAACACAGGAGACAGGATATTCACTGTCACAAGGTAACTTGCAAAAAAAAAAAATGGAACTGATGTTTTCATGAATCAATGTAACTCACCAATTGTCTACCACATTTCCCTGTGAAAGTGTATTCATTTTCTACAGCCAAAATAAAAGATTTTCCCTATTCTCTTCCTTGGTAGCATTCTAAAAGCTAAGCCTTGGAATTGTGTTTGAAATCACCCAGCCATAAACACACCTGTGAAAACTTCTAAACTCACTCTGGAAAAGGTAAATGATAATTGTCAACAAATAGAATATATGAGTAAATACTTTTTTCTGAAACCCACCTCTTTTATTCCCTCAGTAAATACTTCCTTACCTTTCAAACTGTACTAATAAAATGCAATTTACAATTAAAAAACTGAAGAAATCTTTTCAAAGTGACAAACCCAGGGACTGGCAGTGCTGATCAGAAAACAGATGTGTCTGACTCGTGTCAAATCAGGCCATCCAATCACTTGAGAGATTCACCCGCCCCATCCTGCTCACGGAAGTGCTCAATGACCACTCTCTCAGAAATACTGCACTATGCCCCTGTAAGTGCCCCAGGTGCATTTTACTTTGCAAGTTCTTGCACCATCTCACTGAGATCAGGTTTTTGGGGGTGTGTGTGTGTGTGTATGTGTGTGTCTTTTGGCAAAATATTTTTTCTCTCACAAATCTTAAGGGAATCCAGGGGCAGAAATTATTTCTGTATTCCCCTCAATACCACTATATGACGGACTGACCAGCAATGTGTCTCCAAGAAATGGAAGCTGGGTTGGGTGAAGACAATCTTAATGCCTCAAGGGGTTAAACCAGGAGATTCCTGTCAACCCCAGGGCAGCCACCTGCTCCCTTGAGAGGCTACACTCCATACCTCTGGTTGCCCTATAAAAGAAAATAATCCAGGAGCTGATGATATTCACTAGACATTCTAGAAGACATAGCCATGGCGGGTATCTTGGTTTATCCCCAGACTGTGCTGAAAACCAGGACCAGGAAAAACCTCAAGGGTTGGCTGAGGACACATCATCCTAAAAGTTTCCAAAGAGAAACCTTGACCCAAAGACATTCTGATAAGCTGTCTGTGTCTAGAGATGATAAAAGGAAAAGAGGCACAGAGTTTTTTTTTTTACCATACAGTATCAGGAGACTATTCTTTGCTTTCTTTTCATGGAAAATATTTACAAACAAAAAACAAATCTTTTTTAAAGTGTCATCCAATGCTTTGTCAAAAAATGATTAACTAAAATACGACACCTAAAATAATGTGAATTAGGAAGGGGAAGTTGGCATTTGGGATTGTCAGAAAAAACTGGAAATTTAGTATTGCACTGCCAGCCAGAGTTAGGCTGGAGGAGTGGGGGTAAGAGGTGGACTAGAGATGCTGTTGGGGACACATGTGAAGAATCCTGGGGAAAACCTGTCCCCTGTGGAGTGTGAAAATAGTTAAGTGGCAGGCAGTTAGACAGAGGTGGCTCTAGTCCCTGGGTACCTACTTTAAAAAAAAAATGCTTTTTTTTTTTTTTTTTTTTTTTGTAAATTAGTACATAGTGGGAAACAAAATTCAGGCTTAACCAACTACAAACTGCCACTTAAGCGCTGATTACTTAACCAGGAAATTTCCACGTTGATCATACAAATTAAGAAACTACTAAACTGTACCTAACCAATTATTGAATTTGGGTTTTTTCATCATGCACCTTATAAAAGTCTTTCCTTCAAGCCCCTCCCATGAACCACAAACGACAAATCATAGCTGTGTGCTCTACAATTCTTGAATCACTCTATGATTAAATTGTTTAATATTTTTGTGGTGACTCCCACAAATTTTTAATAGAAGAAAAAAGGGACTGGGAACCCCACGGACCAAAGCTCTTTTTATTTATGAACCCCGGACCCGGGGTCAGGATTCTCTCTTGAGGACCTTCCATCCTTGCACAGTCTGGGAGAGATGCGGTGCTGTGGGTGCAGAGCTGACCCTAGAAGGCTCCAGGTGAGTGCACAGTCACTGCGAAGGGAGGAGACAGGATGCCCGGAGATCCGGCTGTCAGCCCGCCGCCATCTTATGGATTAGGGGACTGAGGGCCCAGCTGCGCCATGGAGAAGTCGGGGGCGCAAATTATGGAGCTGACTGCGAGGAGGCCAGAGTCCCGCAACAGCCACTTCCGATCAGTTCCAGCCAGCCCCATCCCCTCTCTCGGGATGCCAGACCAGGCACTCTCACCATTTCCAGGCTTCCAGAGGGTCCTCGCACCTTAGTTGTGGATCTCCCAATACCTGCAGGTCAGGGGGCCACAGAGGTTGCGCCTCTAGGAGCAGAAGACACAGAGCAGTGGAGACCTGGAGCTACAGCTGCAGCAAGAGATAAAGGCCCCGCCAATTCCCGGAAGCCATCCTGTCTGTTCCGGCTGTGGGCCTGATTGGACGGTTCCCAGACCAGCGTCCCTGATTGGATAACGTTTAAGGCCCCGCCCTTTCAGGCCGTGAGTGACGTGAGATGTGATGGGATGCTGGGCTGAATGAGAGTGACAGCCTAAGCAGCAGTCTAGCCTTTTTTTCCATCTTTAACGCAATTTTTATTTTTTTAATTTTTTGCTACGGAGTCTCGGTTTGTTGCCCAGGCTGGAGTGCAACGGCGCGATCTCAGCTCACTGGAACCTCTGCCTCCCGGGTTCAAGTGATTCTCTTGCTTCAGCCTCCCCAGTAGCTGGGATTACAGGCACGTGACACCAAGCCCTGCTAATTTTTGTATTTTTAGTAGTGACAGAGTTTCACCATGTTGGCCAGGCTGGTCTTGAATTCCTGACCTCAAGTGATCTGCCCACCTCGGCCTCCCAAAGTGCTGGGGTTACAGGCATGAGCCACCACGCCCAGCAGCTGCAGCTTTTTCAAGCAGGGCTTAGGCTGCAGCCCATCTCAGAGGGTATTTGCATTTAACCTTGTGTATAAGGTCATATGCATTTATAAATAATATATCATATGGCAATTCACAAATAAAAATAACAATTATTTAACAACACACACTGCCCCCTCATCAAGGTGTGTGGACTGGGTGAATGAATGAAAAAATACTCTCCAATGCTAAACATAGATTTACCCTTTGATCCAGCAATCACGTTCCTAGGTAAACTCCTGTCCACACAAAAGCCAGCACGTGAATACTTACAACTGCTTTATGCATAATTTCTAAAACTTTTTTTTTTTTTTGAGTCAGGGTCTCACTCTGTCACCCAGGCTGGAGTGCAGTGGCACAATCTAGGCTCACTGCAACCTCTGCCTCCTGGGTTCAAGTGATTCTTCTGCCCCAGCCTCTTGAGTAGCTGAGATTAGAGGCACCCACACCACCTGGCTAATTTTTGTATTTTTAGTAGGCATGGAACTTCACGATGTTGGCCAGGCTGGTCTTGAACTCCTGACCATAAGTGATCTGCCCACCTCGGCCTCCCAAAGTGCTAGGATTACAGGCATGAGCCGCCGCGCCTGGTCAAGAAATAAGTAAAATTTAATGTAACAATTTAATTGACCCAATATACCCAAAATATTTTCATTTTAATATGTAATAAATGTGTAATTATTAATGAAGCATATGTATTTTTGTAACTAAATCTTTGAAAGTAACTCTGTATTTTACCTTTGTAGCACATCGAAGTTCAGACCAGCCACATTCCAGGCACCCAATAACTGCCACAATAAAGTGGAACTCTGATATCAGGGGAGTGAAGAGCCTGAACATCCCTTTTCTGCCAGAGGTGAGGGAACAGCATCTCTCTACCAACATCTCTCTTCAGTTCCGAGGGTGGAACGGATAGTGACGATAGAAATAGCAGAGAGCAGCAGGAATAAAATAATGACAGGCAGACAGACCACTGCTGGTAAACTGTTGCCCATCTTTCTTTCAGAGATCAGACAGTAAACAAAGGATGATTGGCGCCAGAGGAGTAGGAAACTGATGTCTTCAGATCTGTTCACAGTCTTGACTTTCAATGTTTAGATATGAAGAAAATAGATTAAAGACAAACTTATTTTGCTATTTGGCCTTGGCCCTAATGGTCGGGTTTTGGTTATCTGTTTTCTCCTGTGTTGCAGAGGAGTGTGTGAGTATAAGCACCAATCACATGCATACATGTCTACATGTATTTCTGCATTACTCAATATTATGTTACAGGATAGCCAAGTAAAATCAGATTTAAAAAATCAGTACCTTTAGGGTGCTCACTGTTAGAAGGTAACTAGTAACCAAACTGTCATTGAATCCTGGCATCTTATCCCCACTGGGTGTATGTATTAGTTAGCTATTCAGCATAACAAACTATCCAAAAGTTGTTAGTTCATAATTGAAATGGTCATCCATTTAGGCTGAGCTCAGTGGGGCCATTCTTCTGGCCTCAGCAGAGTCCTTTCAGGCATGTATCATCAGCTGCTTGTTGACTAGGCAGCTGTGCTTCTGGGGTGAGCCTCTGCTTCTGGGGCCGTCAACAGGGGCAACTTGCTTCACCTCCTCATGATATCTTACCCTCCAGCTGGCTAACATGGGCTTAATTCATGGAGATGGCAGCATTCTGAAATAAAAAGAGTATTCAAGACTGTTTAAATTTAGGCCCCAAACTAGAGCATTGTCATGTTCATAGGTTTCTACTGTCTTGAGCAAATAAGGCCAGCCAGATCTAGGGTTTGGAAAACAGATTTTAGATGTCTATGGTAATAGCTGTAAAAGCACCTGGCAGTGGAAACGGGAGGGATAAAAAATTGCTACAATTTCTGCATTCAGTATCATTCTGCCTGTTTTGCATATTTGGTTTATACAACTCTTCCACATCGAGAAACTTGTCCAAAGACCCACAGCTACTAAGTGGCTGGGATGTGACTAAGGATCGGCTGTCTGACTCCAAAGTCCATGCACCTCCATAGATCACAGTACTAAAGTAGCTGCCTCAGACTCTTGAAATATTTGAGAGTGACACTTATACAACAAAGCCAGATTCCTTTTATATTTGTATCAATATAGTACTATTTATTGTTGATAATAATCATTTCAATAAATTGCAGAAGCGCATGATGGCTGACACCTGGAATCCTAGCACATTGGAGGCTGAGATGGGAGAATCACTCGAGCTCAGGAGTTCAAGCGCAGCCTGGGTGACATAGTAAAATCCTGTCTCCATTAAAAAAAAAAAAAATTTAAAAATTAGCCAGGTGTGATATTACCTACCTGTAGTCCCAGCTAATCGTGTGGCTGGGGCAGGAGGATTGCTTGAGCCTGGAAGATTAAGGCTGCAGGGAACTATAATGGGTTGCACCACTGTACTCTGGCCTGGGTGAGAGAATGAGATCTTGTCTTAAAAAAAAAAAAAATGTCCAGGTGCAGTGGCTTATACCTATAATCCCAGCACATTGGGAGGCTGATGCAGGTGGATTACCTGAGGTCAGGAGTTTGAGACCAGCCCAGCCAACATGGTGAAACCCTGTCTCTACTGAAAATACAAAAAATTAGCCAGACATGGTGGGATGCACCTGTAATTCCAGTTACTCAGGAGACTACGGCAGGAGAATCGCTGGAACCTGGGGGGCTGAGGTTGCAGTGAGCTGAGGTCGTGCCACTGCACTCCAGCCTGGGTGACAGAGGGAGACTCCATCTCAAGAAAAAAAAATTGCAGAATCATTTTGAAAGGACACAGAATAATTTGGGGAAATAGCTGAGGGACGAGTTTAGAAAATCAAAGCCCAACAACACAGTATTTATTTTTCATAATAGGAAAAATTTAAAAACCTTTAAAATAAACAACTTTAGAGAAACTTAATTTAACAGAGTTTAATTGAGCAAGGAATGATTTGCAAATTAGGCAGCCCATGGATCCACAGTGGTCTCAGAGAGACTCCAGCACAGCCACATGGCAGAAAAAGATTCATGAACGGAAACAACAAAGTGACATATAGAAAATGGGAGTGAGGTACAGATTGATTACAGCTTGGGATCTGCCTTATTTGAACATGGTTTGAACAGTTGATGTCTTTCATTGGCTAAAACACAGCAGCTCATATAAGAATGGGTTACATTCTACTTACATATCCAGCTAGGTTTAAATTAACTATGTACAAAAAAACCTACTCACCAAAATTAAACATGAAAAAGGGCAGCTTTAGGGTATAATTAATTTAACGAGTTCTCCATTTTGGTCATCTTCTTAAGTTTGATAGACCAAAACTTTAGACATTGATAACACTCTGTCACCATCAAAAATATAGTTATTTTGTCTAAAAGCAGAACTGTGGGTTTTGTAAAGTGGAAACAAAGATTTCAGATTATTATTTCTAAAGGGTTAGAAATAACTCTTTAGTAGAGGGGACCTCCTTGTGTTCAAATCTGCTATTTGTAGAAGAAAAACAAAATCCATCCTGTTTTAAGATCTTCCCATTTCTTTAAATTTTCAGTTCGATTATGTCACATTTAGCATGAGTGACTCCATTTTGGTTTGGCTTATTCTGTTTGGATCTCGTGCACAAGCTCAGATCAGCATAATGACCTACAACTGTATTGTTTTAAAAATCCCCTATTTTTGGTAAAGTTCTCATATAGGTCATAGTGTGATCAACTCAGGGCCTTAGTGCCCCTCTCAGTTTCCATTATTTTGGGTTTGTGGTTTTATTATGTTATTCATAGATTTGATGTCTTTATAGTCACATGTGTCTTTGACTTTTTGTCATTCCAGTTAAAGGGAGACCATTTGACATTCTAGAGATGAAGACATTTATAACTTTTGAGAGAATACAGTGCAGTAGGGAGACTACTATTTTGAATATTAGCAGGATAATACCAAGAGTGTGATGCATGATTTTCAGCCAGGGTCCCCATGAACAGCCAACTCAAATTAAATGGATGAAATAACTAGCTACATAAATGTTCTACTCATTTCTACCAAGCAGCCTGTTCACTAATCCCCTACAACTGAATCTCTGTAATACCTGATATATTTCTCCATGGGCAGCTACAAGTATTAGCAACTGCACAGATACTTTTCTGTTTCTCCAGTAAGTAATTTAGAAAATTCTATTATTTAGCACAACGTTAGTAAGAAAATTTAAATTCCATTGTGTAACCATAGCCTTTACAGAAGAATCTGCTATAAAGCCCTATTATGGGAGACACATTTCTAACCATTACCTCATTTACTCTAAACCATGGGAAAAAAAAGACCTAACAAATGATGCCCATTAAGAATAGTATTAGCTTCCTAGAAATGCTCTTTAACTTATTTTGAATAAGTTCTTTTTTTTTTTTAACATATGAAGTAGATTATGAGCAGTGGACCAATATTCTGTTTCTGATATTATGAGGCAACAAATGTACTATTTAAAATTTCTCACCCACTGGGCGGGTGCAGAGGCTCACGCTTGTAATCCCAGCACTTTGGGAGGCCAAGGTGGTGATCACCTGAGGTCAGGAGTTTGAGACCAGCCTGTCCAACATGGAGAAAACCCATCTCTACTAAAAATACAAAAATTAGCCAGTTGCGGTGACACATACCTGTAGTCCAGGCTACTCAGGAGGCTGAGGTAGGAGAATCATTTGAACCTGGGATGTGGAGGTTGCTGTGAGCTGAGATCATGCCACTGCACTCCAGCCTGGGTGACAGAGTGAGACTCCATCTCCAAAAAAAAAAAAAAAAAAAAAAATTAACACTCACATTGGCCTTTTATCTTTTATTTATCAAGGCATAAGTTTGTTCACATATAAGGTTGAGTGCAGAATCTTCTACAAAAAAAAAGCTATCTACATCAAGTTTGCCATCTGCTTTTGAGGAGAAACTCCCCTGCTTAAAGCTTTACCTTAAGATCTCCAATGGGTAGACAGTTGCAAGGGTTTGGGAAGAGACCCGTCTAAGTTATGAAATTATGAACCCCAGATTTAAGGTTCTGAAGTCTTACTGCATTGTAGATGGCAAGCAGACTCAAGCTCTGGGTTCTAAATTATGAAGGGTTTTATTGTCCTCAGTTAGTAGACTATTAAATGCTTTCTTTACCATGTGAAAATATGCTTTGTCATAATGCATTAAAGCCTTTCTGCATTTGGAAATATTAGACTTCAGTAACAGAAGATACATAAGGTTTTATTATTAGGTGCATATTCTGTATAATGATTATTTTATAAGGGTCAACACATGTTTTCCACTCTACTTGGATCTGATTATCATTAGCATTCAATTACAAAAACAATCCAGTCAATTTATTTAGCTCTGTTCAAGACTACTGTATGTGAGCAGTGTTGTATCTGTTAAGTAATACCATTTTTAACAGTTTTATAACTTATCTAGTGAAATATGTATCTTTGTCATTGGAGACTTTTTCAGAGGAAGTGACCTTTTCCTCTTTTTCCATGAGGAAAACATATTTCCCAATTATGTTTTTAGTTACTATTATAACATCAGCCTTCTTGCGTAAGAAAACTTTTATACTACCAAGCCAGAGTGAGGTGTTGAAACCCAGGTTAGATGGTGCCCCCCTGCCTACTCCCCAGGACTTTGAAAATTAAAAATCCTCATGCTGGTCTGGGGAGAAGGGGTCTCTGAAGTCTGACCCTTCCCTTCCTTCTAACTTTCCCACATACTCCACTTTCTCCCCCTTGCATTCTGTTCTAGCCAAGATCACTGGGGCCCTCTGCACTGCCTTCTTTCTCTTCAGAAGCTCTTCTCAGGGCCTGGGTTCTCAACACCAACAGATCTTTTTTAACCCTCTCCCTCCTCCATCACCAAACCCCAGATCCCCTCCTGTGTCTCTGCCCTTCCTCTCTTTGTCTCCTTTCATGGCTTCTCCCATCTTGGTATTAACTCGAGGTAATCTAGGGGTCTAAAGGTGTAGATTTAAAGTGACCTTGGGCAGGACATATAGGGCTGGGTTTATTAGACCATCTGCAATTCCTAAGGGGTTAATAATAGA